AAAAAAAAAAAAAAGAAAGAAAACAAGGAAGCTGTTCCCTGAGATGAGGCTAAAGAGGAATGAGTAAAATCTTCAGGAAGGCAGAAACAAGGAGAAAGGGACAGAAGTGGGGAAGCCCTAGGGAGTGGGGGAGATATGGGACAACCAGGCAGAGCTGGATCAGGACACCTCAAGGCCCAAAGATAATCCTTTGACAATCCCTGAGCAGTTAATCCTTGAATAGTGGTGAAGATATGATATGCAAATGCACTGTCACCTGCCATAATTTATTCTAAACACGACACCTGGAAGAAAAGCCTCAAGGAGAGGCTCAACCATCAAGGCGACCCTCCCCAGAGGCCATGCCAGCCTGGATTTGCCACACCACTACCTGGCAGTGCAAAGGGAAAAGCCTTTCACATCTTTTTCCATTGGAAGCCACAGGCTGTTCCATGCCCGGGCCACAGGGAGTCTAGAACTGCCCACCTGGTAAAAACATACTCCTGTGAACTGAAATGAACCCTGGCCCTTCTCTTTCAATTTCAACCACTTTCCGTGCTGAGGCATAAAAAGCAAACAGTATTAACATGAAGCATGGAGGATGCTTCCATTTACAGATACCCTGGAAAGAAACTATCATTAAAAAAGAAAAGAAAAAAAAAAAAGTATCAAAGATTTAATGTACTCCCTTTACACCCCAGACATACCTGTACACCTACATTCCTCACACCTACTGCTAAGAGGGTTTACACGATAAATTATGACTACTCAAGAACATGCAATTTATGAGGAAAGCTCAGAAACCTATACTGCCTTACTCGTGTTACATGCATTGAACCCCAAGTATGAGACAAGTACACAGGCAATGTAGAAAAGTGGACCACACAACCCCAGCTTACAAAATCAGCTCTATTGTTAAGAAAAGTCCACACAGATTAACGCACTTGCACAAAAGCAGAGATAAAGACTTACAAACCCAAAACTCAAATGTGTTATACCATGTATAATCAATTTCTGATGAAGCTAGTCTCTACAGAAATACTTAAAGACAAAATTGCAGTTAACTGGGTAAAGACACAGCTTTATCAAACATGCATTTATTGAGGGCATTCTAGGCACCAGGTGGAGCTGGGATTACAGGACCTAGAAGAGGACATACTGTTAGTTACATAAATAAGTTAATAAAACAGATCCTGCGAACTCCAATGCCCTAGAAGCAGGAGTAAGGGAGCGGATGAAAAGCCCGAAAATTCTTTCTGCTGCACCAACTATCACGTTTGGACATTATTCAAACACTGTAGATTCAAAAAAAGGACATTTCTCCTTCTCTCAGATGCCACAGTAAAAGAGGCACCTAGAACATCAACACCAGAGTTGCAGCCTGCATTTCTGCCTGTTCAGTGAAAATATGAGATCAGCAGCTTCATGACCCCACAGACATAAAATACAATAGTCTAAATGAAATGAATACAATGGGATGTCCCCTTTGAACCCGCAGGTTAGAGAGGGCATGTTTATCCTTCCCTTGCCGGCTATTAGCTGCTTCCTCAACTATTCTGCCCCAGCCCCTGCAGCCCCCCACCTCCAGAGTACTCCACTCATTACCTGCTTCTGACAGTGGGGCAATCCACAGGATACCTGCCAGCAATCCCAGTATGGATCTTCTGGCCTCTTTCCATTCTAAAAGTAATACTATGCTTCGACTCTCTTATAGGAACTAGGCCAACAATGAAAACTATTACAATTAACTGGAAACAAACAGCATTAGACTATGTTAAAACCCTCACAAAATAAAAAGCCACTGTAATAGCTGAGTCCAAGAGAAACTAGTGCTTGGGGTCTGGAGATGGGGTGGGCCCTATTTGCTGCCCAGGGACTTGAACCCACAGAACTGAGGAAGGAAAACAAGGAAGCTGGCTTGGCGCCTATAGCTCAACCTGCTAAGGCGCCAGCCACGTACACCTAAGGTGGCGGGTTCGAATCCCCAGCCCGGACCC